AAACACAACTCCAGGGGTGTTTTTGACATCATAACAACATTATAACTTAAAGTTCACAAGAGTTACATTTTGTATAATATAGCACCTTTAAAGTTAGGTAAGTCCAGACTGTGGTTCAATGTTCGACATTAAACTAAACTGACTCTTCTCAGCTGTAAACAATTAAACAGTAATTCCAGGGCTGAAATGGTTAAAGGTGCAGATCTACAGCAGGGTGTCATATGTGCCCAAGAGGCTTTTATGGTTATTTTGTCCCATTATTTTATTTACCACTTTATAATTGAATCAGCTTCATTGATGAGGTGTCACAGGGTGTCACAACTGAAACATGTGATTTCACAGGTGTCACTGTGATATGTCACAGGGTGTCAGATGAGTGTCACTGTGATGAGGGTGTACAATGAGACACATGAGGGTGTCACACACATGTGATGAGGTGTCACACCACTGTGATGTGATGAGGTGTCACTGTCACAGGTGTGATGATGACACAGGTCACATGTGATGAGGGTGTCACACGGGTGTCACATGAGGGTGTCATGATGTGATGGGTGTCACAGGTGTCACCACAGTGTGATGTGATGGGTGTCACAATGATGTCACTGTGATGTCACAGGTGTGATGAGGGTGTCACAGTGTGTGATGGGTGTCACATGTGATGAGGGTGTCACAGGTGTGATGTGATGAGGGTGTCACAGGTGTGTGTGATGAGGGTGTCACAGGTGTGATGAGGGTGTCACAGGTGTGATGTGATGAGGGTGTCACAGGTGTGATGAGGGTGTCACAGGTGTGATGAGGGTGTCACAGGTGTGTGTGATGAGGGTGTCACAGGTGTGATGTGATGAGGGTGTCACAGGTGTGTGTGTGAGGGTGTCACAGGTGTGATGTGATGAGGGTGTTTGTAATATTCTTATGTCAGTGGTGGGTAAATGCAGTTTGGACAGTCTCTTGTGTAACCAGGGGACAGCAGTTTCCCCTGTGCCGTTGGGCCTGTGCACTTGTGAGTGGGTGTTGGGGACTGTGGAGGAGCACAGGCTGTAGCTCGGGCTCTGGGTGCATGTGGTGATTTGCAGGATAAATGAGGAGGACGAGAGCTCATTTTACTAGTTCTTTATGTGGTGACACAGCGGCCGCAGCCTGAGTGTCAGCCTCACGACTTCGTGCTCAGTTTTATCTCAGTATGGTTTTTGCTGAGTCGTGCTAAAATTAAAAAAATAAAAAATAAATAAAGATAAGGCAGTGAACAGGGAGCTGTGGTGGATGTCACTGACAACATGTTTGATCTTAATCTTGATCTTGATCACTGAAGAGATGTTGCTAACGCTAAGGTTCATGTTAAGGCGTAATAATAATAGGCCACAAACTCAAATATTCTACATGTAAAAAGAACTGGGTTGTTATTTAATTTGAAATCGAATAGACTGTTTATTTTATGTTTTACGATTTGAGGTCACGGTTCGGTTCAGTTTGGGAACAAAATGCAAAACCATTTGCTTGTTGTTTATTTGTGTGTTTTTTAAACCAACAATTTGTTTGAATATTATACAAATAAAAAAAATAAAATAAATGCAAAAGTGTTCTTGGTAATACTAATAAATTAAATAAAATATTCACAAATAAGCAACAAATGTATAAAGTGTAAAAAAAAAAAAAAATCCTTGTAAACAGTAAACAAAACTTTTCAAAAATAAAGTGCAGCACTAACAGTTCCAGCATGAACTTTTACTCAATTTTCAATTTTTTAACCAGAAAAAACAACTTGTCCACATTGTCTGCAGTAAGTGCAGACAATGCAGTCGTCCTGTACTGAAACAGTTTGGTATGAATACATGTACCGTTACATCTACTATTTAGAGGTTACACCATTTTCAGGGATGTCCGAAAGTCCAATTGGTGAAAAAGTAGTGCACTCAAAATTGCCCACAATGCTCCTTGAAAAGCAGTGGGCATGGCTGGTCACTAGAGCGGTCAATATAGACCACAATGCACTGGGAGAGTCGGGAAAACAACAGTGTACATCGACAGGTGAATGGAAGCAGATAAAAGAGCTGGTTTATGGGACTGTTGATCGGGATTATGAATCTGATCATTATTTATGACATAAATCAAGTTTTTAATTTTAAAGGTTTAGTGGACTTTTTTTTTCACTCAGACGCTAGAGTCACGTGACCCGACTGTAAAGAGCTGCATGTCTGACTCTCTGTGACTGAGTTTGGGACTACAGTATGTAGTGAATGAGGGGTTAGGGGCTGGGGGATATTCAGACACTACCTATAAGTTATTTTCATCACACAGTAATGCTGTTACTTTGGAGAAAAGCACAGGCAACCGAAACTAAACCCTGATTTGAAGTAACACTGAACACTCCAAATGAACTAGTTTTGGGTTTAACATGTTAAAAGTATTATCTTCCTCCCATGTTCTAACGCTGTTCCTCATCAAAAACACATCTGAAGACGTCTGAGGGCGTTACCTTCAACAGTCCTGCTCCTCAGATGATGAGCTCTTTGTGGAAAGTTTTACATCTGATTTCACATTTTCAACTTTATGAGAAAAACCACAAAGGATCAAGAGATAAGAACGTGTTAAAACCAGGACTCTCAAAGACTATACCCAGACCTGGTTCAGTCCTGTTTCAGTCCTGTTTCAGTCCTGGTTCAGTCCTGGTTCTTGGACATGTTCCTCAGGGTGCTGCTCATGTCCCTTTGGTGTTGGGGTGAGTTCTGGTTCTTCTTCTACACTTTGACTTTATTTGATGTAAAAATAGCCTTGTATTAAAAAAACAAAACAAAAATAAAAACACAGTCTGCTAAATTCTGTTCAAATCTGACCTGGATGATTGGTGTCGTGTCAGTATTTCTCCACGCGGCAGTTCATTTTGTTGCCCTAGTAACTGTTTGGGGACGGAGATACTGGGAGATGAGACGTTTTATTTACAGTGACTTGAAGATAGTGTCGCAGGTTTGGGGCTCACTGTTAAATGTGCAGATTTCTTCAATAAAATAAGGTTAAAATAATAAAATCCCTTGAATTAAACTAGATAAAAGTGTTCAAAATGAAAACAAAGAATAATAGCAAGTGTGTGTATGTGTGGGTATAAAGTCTGTATAAAAAGAAATATTTAGAAATGTGTGTTAAAGGCACAGTTAATAACCAAGCGTCACTTTGCCTAAAGACGCCTCTACATTATTCTACATTTTTATCGACATTATCTCTAACCCCTTAGGCTTAGTGTGATACTTGGTTTTACTGTTGGATTTTCCGACAAATGAAAAGAGAAAAGCTCTTAGTAACAATGCAAAAATAATATGATAATTGACAGTACATAGGGACATACGATTACAAAAGACAAAACAAAAACAGTCAGACAGTTTTCCCTACTGATTACACTGGACTTTGCCATGAAATATTCTAAAAGTAAATGCACAAATGTTGGACCTGATCATTTCTATTAGTGAACAGACCCAAGAACTCACTGTGTTACATCTGTATTTAATAATATTACAACAGAATGACCAGAATGACAACCGACAAAATGTTGTGACGTCATCTGAAAACCAACTGTATCTGCCCCCAGCAGCAAGAATGGGACACATGTGAGTGTGTGGAATGATCTCCCATAAAGAACCATTTCACTTGTCCTCTACAGGCGACTTTCTGTTTTCACTTAAATATCCCTTTACTGTATATCTGTATATAATAATCACAAGCATAATAGTAATAGTAGTAGTTGTTGTTTTAGTAATAATAAATACATATGAAATTCTACAACATAAACAGTCAGATGCAAAAATAAAAAAATCAAATCAACTTTTCCTGAATTCTGTAGACTGCCCGATTCTGAGTTTTGCCTGTAACAGAGTGTGGTTCTCCTGTGCGTCCGGCTCCCCCTGGTGGTGGCTCTCACGCCTGGTCCCTCTACACTTCATTCCAATTCCCTCTGTATATTTGTTTCTAATATGACACAAAAATAAGACATTTTTATTGGAATTTCAACCTGCCTCTATTCATATTTGTGTTTTGAAGAATACACAATCATGTGTTTTTAATGAAAATGTGGCAGTAGCCATTTTAACATTTAAACACTAAGTTTGACTCTCCAGAATTAACGTTCTAGATATTAACAACGTCTTTCTGACTAGGAGTAATTTCATTTTGGATAGTGGGAATTGTCATTTGAGAAATCTGTGATGTAGTTTTGACAAGACAAAAGGACAGTCAGAGATATCTGCAATTCAGTTTTGACCAGGCAAAACAGCATGACAGATATCTGCAATTACATCATTGAAAATGATTACAAATATCTGTCAGTCAGTTTTGCCTCTGCAGATTGAAAGTTAAAGATCTCAAATGTCATTATGACATCATGACACAGAAAGCACCACGTTGTGTCTGGCTACTCGCAGTTTATGGTTACAAGTTGGTTAAAAGTTGAGCCTATTTATATTTTTAGGGCCTTCTGTCCCTGAGCCATGACAAAACCAAGATGAAAAAGTTGTAATACATTTGTTTTTTACATTTATGTGAGCACATTTAAAGCCAGTCACATGACAAATAAAACACATGTCATTTGCACATTTCAATGTGTGAATGCACCTTTGTGTTTCTATGTGAGGGCATGAAACCCTGTGACATCACTGTGTGGCTAAATAAATAAATACACGTGGGTGAAATGTGCTTTTTCATCTGATAAAGTATCTGTGCAGCACAGAGCGTGTCCCGCTGTACCACAGTCTCTTCCTGTCTCTGTGGTTTAAGGCTCAGAACAGCAGCCACACAACAGCGCACACCTTCAACACATGCCATTTTGTAACATGAACTCTGTGTGCAGGGGTCCTGTGTGCAGGGGTCCTGTGTGCAGGGGTCCTGGCAGAAAACAACAGCTCAATAGGTAATAACCACTCAGCAACACACTCCTCACCTCCTCACTGAGAGAAGTGTGTGTGTGTGTGTGTGCATGTAGGTGAAGTGTGTGTGTGTGCGCGTGTGTGTGTGCGTAAATGACCAGTGTGCGTCTTCTCTCTGCAGACTCTTTCAGTGTGAGGCTGGTGGGAGGAGCCAGTCGCTGTGAGGGGGAGCTGGAGTTTCAGAGGTCAGGTCTAAACTGGACTACAGTGCATCCATCACCTGTGACTCTTGGGTTTGGGGCCAGATTGTGCTCGGTGCTAGACTGTGGCACTGCTCTGTCTGTGGAGGGTAAAACAGGCCCAGAGAGAAAAGTCATGACTGTTTCTCGTGACTGTGAAGAAACATCTCTGAGCAGCTGCTTTAGGACTGGAACATCTCCCTCAGACAAAAGTCTGCAGCTCAAGTGTTCAGGTAACAACTACACTCCTATTGGCTAAGACTGATGATGTCACACATGTGTGCGTCCTATTGGTTCAGAGTGATGATGTCACACATGTGTGCGTCCTATTGGTTCAGAGTGATGATGTCACATGTGTGTTCACAGACTCGGTGCGGTTGGTCTCGGGGTCCGGTCTGTGTTCAGGATCAGTGCAGATCTGGGACGGGTCCTGGACCGGGGTCTGTGACGGGGACTTGGACCAGCGGGGGGCAGAGGTGCTGTGCAGGGAGCTGGGCTGTGGGGCTCCTTCTCTCCTCCAGGGGGCGCTCTCTCCTCTGGGGCAGACGTTCCACTGTGAGGGCCATGAGTCTGCTCTGATGGACTGTCCCCGCTCCAACTCAAGGACCTGCTCCTCTGGAGCCACTGTCAACCTCACCTGCTCAGGTAAAGGGGCGGGGCGTTACTGCTCAGGTAAAGGGGGCGGGGCGTTACTGCTCAGGTAAAGGGGGCGGGGCTTCACTCTCTCTTGTTTGTTCAGAGCTCAGGCTGGTGGGAGGAGCCAGTCGCTGTGCTGGGACTGTGGAGGTGAGTCTCAGAGGAGAGTGGAGACGAGTGGAGGGACGCTTTGGATTCTGGGACCAGGAGGCTGCAGCTGCTGTGTGCAGAGCCCTGGACTGTGGCTCTGCTCTTTATGGAGAACATAGAGATGATTTTCCACACCGTCCTGTGTGGTTGGTCTTATCTGACTGTGTGAAGAAGTCTTCAGTGACAGGATGTGTCTTTGGTACAGACTTGTCTTCCTCGGGTCTGAAGGTGACGTGTTCAGGTAAAAGTCTGATCTTACATTTTTATGTCTAAGATGTTTTTTCTAGTTGTTCCAGAGGAGTGTCAGGTGTAAAATGTGTGACGTCCAAGCAGAGGTTAGATCAGCCTGAGATTGTATCACACACACACACACACACACACACACACACCCCACACGAGAGAGAGAGAGAGAGAGAGCGAGAGAGAGAGAGAGAGAGAGAGAGAGCAGGTTTTGTGTTGAACTTGTGAAGTTGTGGTTTCTTGTTTTATTTAAATCAAAATCAGAACAATAGAACTGATGTATATGTGCACTACAGCAGTGATGTCACACATGTGTGCGTCCTATTGGCTCAGAGTGATGTCACACATGTGTGCGTCCTATTGGTTCAGAGTGATGATGTCACACATGTGTGCGTCCTATTGGTTCAGAGTGATGATGTCACACATGTGTGCGTCCTATTGGTTCAGAGTGATGATGTCACACATGTGTGCGTCCTATTGGTTCAGAGTGATGATGTTACATGTGTGTGCGTCCTATTGGTTTAGAGTGATGATGTCACACATGTGTGCGTCCTATTGGTTCAGAGTGATGTCACACATGTGTGTGCGTCCTATTGGTTCAGAGTGATGATGTCACACATGTGTGCGTCCTATTGGTTCAGAGTGATGTCACACATGTGTGCGTCCTATTGGTTCAGAGTGATGATGTCACACATGTGTGCGTCCTATTGGTTCAGAGTGATGATGTCACACATGTGTGCGTCCTATTGGTTCAGAGTGATGATGTCACACATGTGTGCGTCCTATTGGTTCAGAGTGATGATGTCACACATGTGTGCGTCCTATTGGTTCAGAGTGATGATGTCACACATGTGTGCGTCCTATTGGTTCAGAGTGATGATGTCACACATGTGTGCGTCCTATTGGCTAAGACTGATGATGTCACACATGTGTGCGTCCTATTGGCTCAGAGTGATGATGTCACACATGTGTGCGTCCTATTGGTTCAGAGTGATGATGTCACACACGTGTGTGTCCTATTGGTTCAGAGTGATGATGTCACATGTGTGTTCACAGACTCGGTGCGGTTGGTCTCGGGGTCCGGTCTGTGTTCAGGATCAGTGCAGATCTGGGACGGGTCCTGGACCGGGGTCTGTGACGGGGACTTGGACCAGCGGGGGGCAGAGGTGCTGTGCAGGGAGCTGGGCTGTGGGGCTCCTTCTCTCCTCCAGGGGGCGCTCTCTCCTCTGGGACAGACGTTCTACTGTGAGGGCCATGAGTCTGCTCTGATGGACTGTCCCCGCTCCAACTCAAGGACCTGCTCCTCTGGAGCCACTGTCAACCTCATCTGCTCAGGTAAAGGGGCGGGGTTTCACTGCTCAGGTAAAGGGGCGGGGCCTCACTGCTCAGGTAAAGGGGCGGGGCCTCACTGCTCAGGTAAAGGGGCGGGGTTTCACTGCTCAGGTAAAGGGGCGGGGCCTCACTGCTCAGGTAAAGGGGCGGGGTTTCACTGCTCAGGTAAAGGGGCGGGGCTTCACTGCTCAGGTAGAGGGCCGGGCTTCAGTGCTCAGGTAAAGGGGCGGGGTTTCACTGCTCAGATAAAGGGGCGGGGCGTTACTGCTCAGGTAAAGGGGGTGGGGCTTCACTCTCTCTTGTTTGTTCAGAGCTCAGGCTGGTGGGAGGAGCCAGTCGCTGTGCTGGGACTGTGGAGGTGAGTCTCAGAGGAGAGTGGAGACGGGTGGAGGGACGCTTTGGATTCTGGGACCAGGAGGACACAGCTGCTGTGTGCAGAGCCCTGGACTGTGGCTCTGCTCTTCATGGAGAACGTAGAGATGATTTTCCACACCGTCCTGTGTGGGAGATCTCCTTTGACTGTGTGAAGAAGTCTTCAGTGAGAGGATGTGTCTTTGGTTCCTCCTCCTCCTCTTCCTGGGGGGTGGAGGTGACGTGTTCAGGTAAAAGTCTGATCTTCCATTTTTATGTCTCTTATATAAAGAATGAGATACTCAGTGAGAAACAGAGAGAGAGAGAGAGAGAGAGACAGAGAGAGAGAGAGAGAGAGAGAGAGAGAGAGAGACAGAGACAGAGAGAGAGAGTTTTATTTAAATCAAAATCAGAACATTAGACACTGCACACGCACGCACGCACACACACACACCTCACAACAGTAATATATTTACCACAGATGTACATGTGCACTACAGCAGTGATGTCACACATGTGTGCGTCCTATTGGTTCAGAGTGATGATGTCACACATGTGTGCGTCCTATTGGTTCAGAGTGATGATGTCACACATGTGTGCGTCCTATTGGTTCAGAGTGATGATGTCACACATGTGTGCGTCCTATTGGTTCAGAGTGATGATGTCACACATGTGTGCGTCCTATTGGTTCAGAGTGATGTCACACATGTGTGCGTCCTATTGGTTCAGAGTGATGATGTCACACACGTGTGTGTCCTGTTGGTTCAGAGTGATGATGTCACATGTGTGTTCACAGACTCGGTGCGGTTGGTCTCGGGGTCCGGTCTGTGTTCAGGATCAGTGCAGATCTGGGACGGGTCCTGGACCGGGGTCTGTGACGGGGACTTGGACCAGCGGGGGGCAGAGGTGCTGTGCAGGGAGCTGGGCTGTGGGGCTCCTTCTCTCCTCCAGGGGGCGCTCTCTCCTCTGGGGCAGACGTTCCACTGTGAGGGCCATGAGTCTGCTCTGATGGACTGTCCCCGCTCCAACTCAAGGACCTGCTCCTCTGGAGCCACTGTCAACCTCACCTGCTCAGGTAAAGGGGCGGGGCCTCACTGCTCAGGTAAAGGGGGCAGGGCTTCACTGTCTCTTGTCTGTTCAGAGCTCAGGCTGGTGGGAGGAGCCAGTCGCTGTGCTGGGACTGTGGAGGTGAGTCTCAGAGGAGAGTGGAGACGGGTGGACTTGCCCTTTAGGCACTGGGACCAGGAGGCTGCAGCTGCTGTGTGCAGAGCCCTGGACTGTGGCTCTGCTCTTCACGGAGAACGTAGAGATGATTTTCCACACCGTCCTGTGTGGTTGGTCTTATCTGACTGTGTGAAGAAGTCTTCAGTGAGAGGATGTGTCTTTGGTTCCTCCTCCTCCTCTTCCTGGGGTGTGGAGGTGACGTGTTCAGGTAAAAGTCTGATCTTCCATTTTTATGTCTCTCAAATAGTTTTTTTCTAGTTGTTCCAGAGGAGTGTCAGGTGTAAAATGTGTGACGTCTAATCTCTTCTGCATCACACATGCACACACGCACGTACACACACACAAAATCAAACTTTATTTGTATAGCACTTTTCATACATTTGAAATGTAGCACAAAGTGCTTCACATGCAACAGAAAAATTACAATGATTAAAAACAACAGCAACAGGGAGCCGTAAAAACTGAATGTCGCCTCAGCGTGAGTTTTAGTTTAGAGTCTCTGGGACAGTTAAAAGACGAGACCTGAGGACCTGAGAGTCCGAGAGGCTTTTGATAAAAACAGATCAGATAAATAAATAAGACTAAGACCATTAAGAGCTTTATAAACCAATAAAAGCACTTTAAAATCTCTCCTGAAGCTCACAGAAGCCAGTGCACAGACGTCAGTACTGAGGTGATGTGCTCTCTCTTCCTGGTCCTCGTCAGCAGCTGCAGAGTTTTGGAGGAGCTGTAGTGGAGCTGCAGTTTTGTTTGGAAGAGCAGAAAGGAGAGCATTACAGTAATCAACACGGTTTGTAATAAAAGCATTTAGATGATAAATCCACTCAGTGATGGACCTGATGTGTGGCTCAAAGCTAAGATCACTTTCCAGAGTAACTCCTAAACTTCTGACCCTCTCACAGGCTTCAGTGAGGAGGTTTGGAGCTGAGTTTTGAGTCTCTCTCTCTGAGTTTCAGGACCAATAATTCAAACCTCAGTTTTGCCCTGGTTGAGCTGCAGGAAGTTTGCTGCCATCCAGGACCTAAAGACCTTGAGCTTTGGGGAACACTACACTCTATTTTACATTTTGCAGAGAACTGCTCCCCAAGACTAACATAAATAAAAATAATAATAATAAAAAAAAATACAGTGGTCCGCTGTGTCAAACGCTGCTGTCAGATCCAACAGCACCAGGACTGACACATTCTTTTTGTCCATGTTGGATCTTATATCTTCAAAGATCTTTACTAATGCAGTCACTGTGCTGTGGTGAACTCTAAAACCTGATTGATACATTAAAAAAATATTGTTGGAAATCATAAAATCATTAACTTCATTAACATTTTTCTTCAGAATTTTGCTTAAAAATGGCAGATTGGATGTGGGTGTGTAGATGCTGAGCAGGGAGAGTTCCAGGTTGTCCTTTTTGAGCAAAGGTTTGACCACGGCAGTTTTGCGTGGAGTAGGAAAAATCCTGACTGCAGGGAAACATTTACAATGCTAAGAACTTCTTGGGCTAACAAATTAAAAACTGATTTAAAAAGGGATGTAGGAATATGATCTAAAAACAAGTGGCTGGTTTGAATTGTAAAATGAGTTTGTTAAGAGTCGTAGCATCAGCCAGGGCAAAACTCTCAAGTGTGTTTGATAAAACCAAAGGACTTTTAGTACACACATTATCTGGATTGTATCTGCTGCAGGTCACACACACACTCGTCTCCACACACTCATCTGTCCAGTCATGTGTCTCCACAGACTTACTCAATCGTCCAATCATCTCTGTGTCTGTGTTTGACGGGGCGTCTGAGCTCCAGCCTCAGGGGGTGCGGGTGCAGCTGGGCTCAAAGTTCAGGGTCAAATGTTCCGTGGAGCCACAGTACCCAGGAGGCTCCTTCCGGCTCCTCTCTCCCGCCGCGCCCCCCGATCAGAACCGCACCCTGCCCGCCGTCAATCACTCCGCCCACTTCCTGTTCTCTGACACTGGCCACGCCCACGAAGGAAACTACACCTGTGTTTACCTCCTGCAGGTGTTCAACCACAGCCTCTCCTCTCAGAGCCACACACTCCAGCTCTCTGTGGGAGGTACACACACACACACACACACACACACACACACACACACACACACACACACACACACACACACACACACACACACACACACACACACGCACACACGCACACACGCACACACAGCCTCACCTGTCAGAGCCACACACTCCAGCTCTCTGTGGGAGGTACACACAACCACACACACACACGCACACACGCACACACGCACACACGCACACACACGCACACACACACACACACACACACACACACACACACACACACACACACACACACACACACACACACACAGCCTCACCTGTCAGAGCCACACACTCCAGCTCTCTGTGGGAGGTACACACAACCACACACGCACACACGCACACACACGCACACACGCACACACACACACACACACACACACACACACACACACACACACACACACACACACACACACACACACACACACACACACACACAGCCTCACCTGTCAGAGCCACACACTCCAGCTCTCTGTGGGAGGTACACACACACACACACACACACACACGCACACACACACACACACACACACACACACACACACATACACACACACACACAGCCTCACCTGTCAGAGCCACACACTCCAGCTCTCTGTGGGAGGTACACACACACACACACACACACACACACACACACACACACACACACACACACACACACACACACACACACACACACGCACACACACACACACACACACGCACACACACACGCACACACACACACACACGCACACACACACACAGCCTCACCTGTCAGAGCCACACACTCCAGCTCTCTGTGGGAGGTACACACAACACACACACACACACACACACACACACGCACACACGCACACACACGCACACACACACACACACACACACACGCACACACACACACACGCACACACACACACATCCACGCACACACACGCACACACACACGCACACACACATCCACGCACACACACGCACACACACACGCACACACACCCACGCACACACACCCACGCACGCACACACACACACCCACGCACACACACCCACGCACACATACACACACACAGCCTCACCTGTCAGAGCCACACACTCCAGCTCTCTGTGGGAGGTACACACAACCACACACACACACACACACACACACACACGCACACACACACACCCACGCACGCACACACACACACAGCCTCACCTGTCAGAGCCACACACTCCAGCTCTTTGTGGGAGGTACACAAACACACACACACACACACACGCACACACACACAGCCTCTCCTCTCAGAACCTGGTTCTGGTCTTGATCCTGGTCCAGGTCCTGGTCTTGGTCCTGGTCTGATCTGGGTTCTTTTGTGCTGCAGAGTCAGACTCAGACTTGATCATCAGAGTCGTGATCATTCTTCTGTTGAAGCTCCTGTACATCCTCCCAATGTCCTACTGCTACTGCAAGGTAACTCACCTGTAGACCGGGTTTAGACTGAGTTTAGACCGGGTTTAGACCGGGTTTAGACCTGGTGTATTATGGGTTTAGACCTGGCTTTGTCCTACTTTAGACCTGTTTAGTCCTGGTTTAGTCCAGCTTTAGACCTTCTTTAGTCCAGCTTTAGACCTTCTTTAGTCCAGTTTTAGACCTTTAGTCCAGCTTTAGACCTTCTTTAGTCCAGCTTTAGACCTTCTTTAGACCTTCTTTAGTCCAGCTTTAGACCTTCTTTAGTCCAGCTTTAGACCTTCTTTAGACCTTTTTTAGACCTTCTTTAGTCCAGCTTTAGACCTTCTTTAGTCCAGCTTTAGACCTTCTTTAGACCTTCTTTAGTCCAGCTTTAGACCTTCTTTAGTCCAGCTTTAGACCTTCTTTAGACCTTCTTTAGTCCAGCTTTAGACCTTCTTTAGTCCAGCTTTAGACCTTCTTTAGTCCAGCTTTAAACCTTCTTTAAACCTTCTTTAGACCTTCTTTAGTCCAGCTTTAGACCTTCTTTAGTCCAGCTTTAGACCTTCTTTAGTCCAGTTTTAGACCTTTTTTAGTCCTGGTTTAGAGCTGGTTTAGAGCTGGTTTAAAACTGGTTTAGTCCTGGTTTTGTGACGTGTTCTTGTGCTGTGTCCTGTTGTTTCAGGTCAGGGCCAGAGGCAGAGCTGGAGAGAGGCCCCAGCTGTGAGTGAGACCGGTTCAGATCTGAGCAGGTCCTTTTTCAGCATCATTTATTTTATTCACTGACTATTGTAAATGGAATAATACCAATCCCAATATTGTTTATAAAAAAACATCTTTATTGTTTGTATGGTAATATTGTCAACGTTGTTTGGATATTGATCTGTAAATATCATGTGAAGATCTTTGATTTGTGTGAAACTGTTAATGGTTCATAATGTAAATGTGAAAGGAATTTCACAGACCTCTCCTCGTCCACCACTCGACTTTAGCCAAGACTTCACCTTCATCATTTAGCCTTCCCCCGCTGAAGCGACAGGAAACACACTGGTATCACCGACCGGACCCCAACAGTCCATCTTGGCCCTTTGACCAGAGAGGACTGATAAACATGGAGACACAGAGCAGCTTTTTATCTTTTCTGCTGGACAAAAAACATTCCAAAGAGACAACGTCCATGACTGAAACCTCCACTGTCCTGGTCCTCTGCGCACGTGTCACAGAAGGGCTTCACTGATCAGTTTAGACTCAACACATAACCTTAGAAAACTCCCAAAGTTTTATCTAATCTCCAATCCTAGAATAATCTACACTCATTTGTATATTTAATATTTAAATGATTTTGTTTAACTTGGTCAATAAATATCCTTAAACCACAGTTTGCTTTGGTGAACAGTGATGTTATTTCCAGATACGGGTCACTGATAAGAACAAGAATTTACCAACCTTCAGAAGAGCAGTTTAATTAATTGTTAGTTTATTCATTCAGTTAAATAATTGATTATATTGTATTGGTAATATTTCTTAATATTTGTTGATTGGTGCCACAAATTTACTTCTAGTCAGAGCCGAACGCCGAGTGAGTGTGAGTGCTGCTTTCACTTAGAACACTTCAGTTCTAATCTGTAATATACATTTCATGTTACATATGTTTATAAGATTGATTTATTTTTTTGTATATATGCAACAAATTTAACACAGGAAAAATGTGTGTGTGCGTGTGTGTGTGCGTGCGTGTAGGTGTGTGTGTGTGAATATCAGGATGTGTGTGAGTGTGAGTGTGTGTCAGTGTGTGGATGTGTGTCTGTGAGTGTAGGTGTGTGTGTATATCAGGATATGTGTGTGTGTGTATATATCAGTGTGTGTATGTGTGTGTGGGCGTGCATGCGTGTGAGCAAGAGTACGTGCGAGTGTACGTGTGTGTGTATCAGGATGTATGTGTGTGTGCGTGCGAGCAAGCGAGCGTGCATGTTAGTGCATGTGTATCAGGATGTGTGTGAGTGAGTATGCGTGTGTGTGTGCGTGTGCGTGAGTGTGTGTGTATCAGGATGTGTGTGTGTGTGTGTGTGTGTGTGTGTGTGTGTGTGTGTGTGTGTGTGTGTGTGTGTGTGTGTGTGTGTGTGTGTGTGTGTGTGAGAGAACATGTGGAGTGGACAGAGACAGGTGTTGCAGACATCATCAAACAAGGACCTACTGTCAGTATTTGTTTTGGCTGCATTCGTGCGCACACACATACACACATACACACACACACACACACACACACACACACATACACCCCCCAGCACCTGCAGCATCATGAGTCAGTGCTAGTTCAGCCTCTGCAGCTCAGGGAGGGAATCCTGAATCCTGGAGGTTCTGAGCTTCACATGACGCCTGAACATAAACTGAGACTGAGATAAAGAAATATTCTAGTGATAGTAACAGTAGAAGTATCAGTAGTAGTAGGAGTAATAATGGTAGTAGCAGTAGAAGTATCAGTAGTAGTAGGAGTAATAATGGCAGTAGCAGTAGAAGTAACAGTAGTAGTAGGAGTAGTAATGGTAGTAGAAGTTAGAAGTAACACTAGTAGTAGTGGTAGTAATAGTAGCAGCAGCAGTAGTAGTAGTAATAATATCAGTAGTGGTCAATAGTAAGTAGTAGTAGTACGAGTAGTAGCAGTACAATTAGTACTTTATAAGAAATATTAGTAATAATAGTAATAATAGCAGTAGTAACAGTAGTAGTAGTAGTTTATCAGAAATAGTAGTAGTAGTAGTAGTAGTAGTAGTAGTAATAGTAGTAGTGGTAGTGGTAGTAGTAGTAATAGTAGTAGTAGTAGTAGTAGTAGTAGTAGTAGTAGTAGTAGTAGTAGTAGTAGTCAGTGGTTTTAACAGTAGTAGTAGTAGTAGTAGTAGTAGTAGTAGTAGTAAGTAATAGTAGTAGTAGTAGTAGTGGTAATAGTAATAATAGTAGTAGTAGTAGTCATGGTTTTAACAGTAGTAGTAGTAGTAGTAGTAGTAGTAGTAGTAGTAGTAGTAGTAGTAGTAGTAGTAGTAGTAGTAGTAGTAGTAGTAGTAGTAGTAGTAGTAGTAGTAGTAGTAGTCGTGGTTTTAACAGTAGTAGTAGTAGTAGTAGTAGTAGTAGTAGTAGTAGTAGTAGTAGTAGTAGTAGTAGTAGTAGTAGTAGTAGTAGTAGTAGTAGTAGTAGTAGTAGTAGTAGTAGTAGTCATGGTTTTAACAGTAGTAGTAGTAGTAGTAGTAGTAGTAGTAGTAGTAGTAGTAGGTATTATGACCAGACGACAAACATAAACTACAGCCTGTACTTTACTGTAGAGACAGAGAGAAGAGGAGGAAGAGGAAAAGAGAGGAGTGTCACAAATACAAGGATATGACGAGTACACACAAAAAACAAATGCTGAGATGGTCAGAGAAGTTGGAGATGGTCAGAGAAGTTGGAGATGGTCAGAGATGGTCAGAGATGTTCAGAGACTAAAGGGGAAAGTGAGGAGGAGGAGGAGGTTCAGGGTGTGGAGGTGTTCTTCGTGGTTACAGTGGTTGTGGTCGGCTGCTCCTGGGGCTGACTTCGCTAGCACACTGAGCAGTTTTTACACTTTTTTCCCTAACATTTTTAGTTTACATTTGATCTTAAATTTGTGGATTTTGAGCTTAAAAAAAGTGATTGATTGATTTGCTGTGCCCTCCTTGAACCGTCACCTTATCGTGGTGGAGGGGTTTGAGTGCCCGAATGATCCGGGAGCTATGTTGTCGGGGGCTTCATGCCCCTGGTAGGGTCACCCAAGGCAAACAGGTCCGGGGCGACGGGTCAGACGAAGAACGGTTCAGAAGCCCCACATGATGAGTTACACACAGAGGCCAGTTACGTCGCCCGGATTGGCATCACCGGGGGCCTCACCCTGGAGCCAGGGTGGGTGCTCGTCAGCGAGCGCCTGGTGGCCGAGCCTCCCCCCACGGGGCCCGGCCGGGCTTAGCCCGAAGGAGCGACGTGGGGCCGTCCTCACGTGGGCCCACCACCCGCGGGAGGAGCCATATGGGGCCGGTGCAGAGAGATCTGGGCGGCAGTCGACGGCGGGGGCCTCGACGACCGGATCTCCGGACATGGAGACTAGCTCTGGGGACATGGAATGTCACCTCGCTGGGGGGGAAGGAGCCTGAGCTTGTGCGGGAGGTTGAGCGTTACCGACTAGATATAGTCGGCCTCACCTCCACGCACAGTTTGGGCTCTGGAACCCAACTCCTTGAGAGGGGCTGGACTCTCCATTTCTCTGGCGTTGGCCGCGGGGAGCGGCGGCGGGCTGGTGTGGGCCTGCTCATTGCCCCACAGCTCAGCCGCTGTGTGTTGGAGTTCACCCCGGTGAACGAGAGGGTCGCGTCCCTGCGCCTTCGGGTCGGGGACAGGTCTCTCACTGTGGTGTCGGCCTACGGGCCGAACAGCAGTGCAGAGTACCCGGCCTTCTTGGAGTCCCTGGGAGGGGTACTAGACAGTGCACCAACTGGGGACTCCGTTGTTCTCCTGGGGGACTTCGACGCCCACGTGGGCAACGACAGTGACAGTTGGAGAGGGGTGATTGGGAGGAACGGCCTCCCTGATCTGAACCCGAGTGGTGTTTTGTTATTGGACTTCTGTGCTAGTCACAGTTTGTCCATAACGAACACCATGTTCGAGCACAAGGGTGTTCATAAGTGCACGTGGCACCAGGACACCCTAGGCCGGAGGTCGATGATCGACTTTGTAGTCGTTTCATCTGATCTCCGGCCGCGTGTCTTGGACACTCGGGTGAAGAGAGGGGCTGAGCTGTCAACTGATCACCACCTGGTTGTGAGTTGGGTTCGCTGGCGGAGGAGGAAGCCGGAAAGACCTGGCAGGCCCAAGCGTGTAGTGAGGGTCTGTTGGGAACGTCTGGCGGAGCCCTCTGTCAGATGGGAATTCAACTCGCACCTCCTGGAGGACTTCTCCCGGATTCCGGGGGAGGCTGGAGATATGGAGTCCGAGTGGGCTTCATTCTCGGCCTCTATTGTCAATGC